TATTATAATAAACTACAGAGACACAAGTCTTTCCAATATATAGGAATGAAGTAGAATAAGAATTTTGGGAAGTAATACTTTAACTTTTCTACAGCATTGTAGAGCTGTGTTTTGTTGGGTCTGCCTGCCCTCTCTCCCCTTCCACATCTCCCTGGGACCAGAGTACTTAAACTTGATTTGTTTAGATATTGCAAGCATTTACTGGGGATAAGAGGGAGAAAGAAGAAGCAGATTTTTTCAAACTCATTCAAATTAACCTGTTTTTCTTGTCCTGTTCTTTTTTTCTCCAGGAACTTGAAATTTTTGGCAACTCTTCAAAAAAAACCCCACTTTTTAGAGTTCAGCTGCATTTCTTTTTTGTTGTTTTGGGGGATTTTTTGTTGTTGATGTTACATGGTTACAGGAGCCATTGAGACTACTCAGAGAACAACAATCAGCAGTTTCTGCACTTCCTTACTGAATAGCAGTTCCTCAATAAAACCTTATTACAGTGTAAGTTTTAACTTGACTTGGTAGCGTAATTTGTTTTCAGTCGCAGCACAGTATTAAACTTGTAGGTTTCTTTAAAATATGGAAGCTAGGTAGGAAATCCACCTTAGAGAATCATGGATCCATAAAAATGCTGATTTGTAAGGGACCCACCAGCTGACTTCTGGCAACTTGTCCCTTGTTTGTTTGTATGTCCCTTGATTCTTTCTTAGAGGCTTGCAACTGTGCCATTTCCAACTATAGGCTCCATCCCTGACTTACAGTGCCACCCCAGCCACTGCTGCCCTGCCCATCCCTCCTGAAAAGCCTGTAACAATCCAACAGGGCACTCCAGTCACAGGACTAAGCCCACAGTTTCACCAATGCCAGTGATACCAAATGTCTGGGATTGGGCCAAAGGCTTGAGATGGTCTTGTTCCTCATGCTATGTGCATTACATTCAGCTGTGGTGCTTTGCAGCCAACAAACCTGAAGGAGGTGGAGGGATCCCATTAGTTTTCTCAAGTTCTTACTGAGAAACCACTCCATTCCATCACTCCCCACTGGCAAGCCTGGTTTTGTCTCTCCTCCTTCCAAGCTGGTTTAAATTTCTGTGAATGAGCCCTGCTGGTTCCTGTGCTAGAGCTCTTTTCCCCCCCGAGATAGGTACATCTCATCACGTGTCAGTAGAGCAGGTGTTCAATAGATTGTCCCATGGTAAAAAAACAGAATTTTTTTTGCTTACACCAGCCTTGGAGCCATGTGTTGACCTGGTGGATCTGCCTATTGCTGTCAATATTATCCTTGTTACCAAAACGATTATGGAAACTGCGTGTGCTTCTGATCCTTCAGCCTTCAACTCAAGCCCTGAAGTCTCTTTTGATTGTCCTTGGAATTCTCTTTGGTTTTTTGTCATTGCTGGCTTGAAAGACCAATAGTGGGTAGTAATCAGAGGGCCTTACTAGACTGGAGAGTTTTTCAGTAATTTCTCTTATCCATGCCCCTGGGAGCCAGCAGCCGGCAGAATTCGCCATAAGTTAGATCTGGTATGCATGTCAGGCCTTCCCTCACCTCTCTCAGAGGGAATTTCCTATTACTCTGCCCTTCTTTTGCTCTTCTCAGAGGAGGTCTTGATGCAGGCTACAGGAGGTGTTGCTTTAGGAGGCCCCTCTGTCCCAGTAGAACCTTCGCCCACCTCATTGTCTGGCCTTGTTCCAGAGCCTCATACCTGTTGTAGAAGGTTCCAGTCCTACTTGTTTTTAGGAGGGGGAACCTCCTCCCAGTATGTGGAGTGACCTGCTTCCAGCCTTCATCTTGAGCAGACCCTTGACTAAAACACCCTTGACTAATTACCCTGCAGGGTTCTGAGTCCACCTGCTTCTCCACTACAAAGGAGGTTTGAGACTCCTGGGAGTCTTGATACTGTGGCATCTCTGTAAATAACTTACCTGGTGCTTGTTCACTGGAACACCACATAGCCTGTTCACTTCCTCCTGAAGCCCCTCCGCCTGGCAACAGCTCCTCAAGCACAGCACACCCTCTCCAAAATAACTTTTTGTCAGCCCCAGCCTCTCAGAGAGGCATCAGGCACTCCTGTGACCTGCACAGCCACCTCTGCCCTCAGCACACCTCGCTGTCCAGAGGCCTCTGGCACAGCTTCAGGGATCCAGCAGCTGCAGGGGAGCGAGCTCTACACCGTCATCCATAACTGGGGAAGCTTCCACTGCTACACAGATACAGCTGGGGCTGAAGGGAGCTTTTTGTGCTCTTCTTCACCAGGCCCTGAGGCTGTTTGCCTCTCCTGGCAGACTTCAGACAGCCCAGGGTAATGGGCAGACTCCCGGCAGCTGTGAGGAGGTTACTGACAAACAGGACCAGGCTTTGTTAATATGCACGCTGCAAGAGACAGCAGCCATGGATTGAAGTGGGGAGGTTCTGGCTGAGCAAACCGGGAGGGATTGTTCATGATGAAGGTCAGAGGCATTTGAGCATGTTACACAAGCAGACTGTGAAATCTCTGTCCTTGGAAGTGTTTGGAGTCTATTGAATAGACTCCTGCATCTCCTTCAAGCAGGGAGCTGGAAAAGAGATCTATGAAGGTCCTTGCCCATCTGAACAATTCTATCAAGGTACTTACACCTTTAGGACTATGTGAAGTGCATGCTTGGCAAAACTTGTCTGGAACCAGCAGGTTGAGGGAGGTGATTCTACTGCTCTGCTGTTGTGACATCCTGCATGGAGTACTGCCCCCAGGTCTGGGGTCCTCAGCGTTGGAAGAGCATGGACCTGTTGGAGCAGGATCAGAGGAGGCCACAAAGATGCTCAGAGGGCTGGAGAACCTCTGCTATGGAGACAAATGAGATTTTCATCTGCTGAGTCCAGAGAAGGCTCCAGAAAGACATTGTGGCACCTTCCAGTACTTAAAGGGGCTATACGAGAACTGGAGAAGGACTTTTTACAGGGGCCTGTTGTGACAGGACAAGGGAGAGTGGCTTTAAACTGAAAGATAGTAGATTTAGATTAGATATGAAGAATAAATTATTGTGAGGGTGTTAAGGCACTGGAATAGGTTATGCCAAGAAGTTGTGGACACCCCATCTCTAGAAGTGCTCAAGATCAGGCTGGATGGGGCCCTGGGCAACCTGTTTTAATGCAAGATGTGCCTGCAGGGAGTTGGAACTTTAAGGTCCCTTTCAACCCAAACAATTCTTTGATTCTAGGACATGATCATGAGCCACATGTGGAGCTTGACTCGATTTTATGATTCAATTGGGGTAGATTTCAGACCTTTTTACAGTATGAGATAAATGGCATTGCATTATTTCCTCATGATTCTCTTCAGTATCCAAAAAAAAAAAAAAAAGGCAAAAGTGCAGAGGCAGGAAAGAGTAAAGCATTTATCTTCATTAGTCTTCTATAATGAGTTGTGTGGAGAAAAGAGATTAAGGAAAATTAATGCATTCCTACGGAGCTAACACTTCAGCTTTCTCCCAAGCTTTTATAGACTTGAAATATTGGAGGAGCTGGCAACAACTCTGGTCTTTCATTCAAATCAGTACTTTGTATTTATTCTACTCTACCCCTGTACTTGATGAAGATGTGTTCTTGGCTGTATAATTATTATAAGCATATTTTCATGGTAGAGAATGAATTCTGAATAAACAATTACTGAAGCCCTTGCATGGATGCACTTATTTTTCCTGTGATCCTACTAAGGTCTCCAACCTATCATATTCTTGGTTCTTTAAATACATAGTTTACTGTAGTGGCTACCTAGAGAGAAGATTGCAGTGCTGATGTTACATTTTTGAGTTTGACTGTGTTTTTGAGTTGTTGGCCATTTTGGATGGCAGTGCATCTTAATGCTGCACTAAAGTAAATGGAGCCTGTCTAGCTGCATAAATCCAATGTGCAGGGAAACATAGAATGAGAAATTGCTTCTCATGTATGTAAACCAGAGGCATAAAATCTGAGAAGTATTCAATGTGAGCATATAATTCTCAGAAATATGTAATTTCTAGAATGTGTATTTAAGTTACAGCCAAACACATGAAGTGTACTTCTCCCTAATTTGCTAAGACTAATATATGTGTAGTCTGTAGTAAAATTCTAGTGTAAAAATTGTAGTTGACATTTGTGCTTTTGCTGTTTGGAATACAAAGCAACCCAAAAATGATAGTATGGCTGTGGTTGTGGCAGCCATCGATTCTGTGATCCCCCCCACAAGAACTCTTAGCAAGTTGTGTAACACTGCTTTTTGTTGCTTGTTTCCTTTTCCCTTTAAGATAAGCTTTGCTTTTTACATTTGAAAATACAGAGAATTATTTGGTTTGTGTCATGTTTTATTGTTTGATTTTTAGCTATTAAAAGTACGGTCCTGTTTCTTCATAAGGTAAGGATGAAATATCAAACATGCAATTATAAGGTGTTCAGATTGCTTTTTTTTTTCTTTTAATCCAGCAAGCAACCAACTGTTTAAAGCATCAGGGAAATGGGGCATAGGGAGTTTTTTCATTTGCAGTTTCTGCAGTCTGATAGTTCTTCATTCTTTCCCAAGGCTGTGCAGAATTTGTCACAGGATAGAGAGAAACTTGATTTGTGCACATAGAATTGAAGAGGAAGTTGGTTTGTCTCACTGTCCCTCCTTTGTCATCATACTTCATGGTTAATTTATCAGTAGTGGTTTTTAACATCATGTCTGTTTATATTAAACACAGAGTAGTTTAGTATCAGATGGTAAGAGGGAACTCTCTTACTTCAGGAGGGAAAAAACATTAAAAACAAGGTTTAGGGTGAGCAAATAAACTGTATTATTTCACTTACACCGCTTAAAACTCAGCACAGGTTTAGTAGCTGCGCTGGTAAATCTTAGCAGTAGCATCTTAGAGCATCAACAGCTGCTCCAGCCTTAAATACAAGAACTACAACTTTTGGTTTTGTATAATATGACTCTTCTAGTGAGTGAGTGTAAAGTAGTTTTCTTCATGCTTCAGTAATGAAATATATATTTCCCAGTGTGCAGTGACAGATAATTAAAGAGATTGAACTTTTTCTTTTTTTATTACCATGCTGAAGACATGAAATAAGAATTAGGGGAAAAGGTCAAATGTTATAAATTTATTTTGGGACATATATATTGCAACCTCTGTGGAAGCTTTTGAAAATTCTGGCAAAGATCAATACACTTCCAATAAAACCTTTAAACTTGCAATAAAACAATATTTTAAACATTATATATATATATATTTATATATATTCTTAATTAAAGGGTTAATTTTAGCAGGATTTTCTTTTTTTTTTTTTTTAATATACTGCATTCCTCTGACATAGCTCTTTCCATATTGAAGGGATGCAAATGAGGTAAGAATTAAGGCAAACCTAAAAGGCATGCAAATGAAGTACATTTATATCCACTGACAATACAAGCACGTGTGGACCAGACCTGGGAGCCGAGAAGCTCTTCCCTTCTGTCTGTCCAGTACTACTTTACAGCAGAATGGTGACATGATTTATAATAAACAGTTAACATTACCATGGGAATTCAGTGTCACTAACATTACTCAGTCTAGGAGACACAGAGCTAGCATCAGTAAAACAGGAACAATAAATAATATAATTCACTGCAGCACAGGCCTGCTGCACAGGATTCAGAGGAAGAGGGTTGTTATGAAATGACATTGCACACATCACGTTGTGGCAGTTTATTTTTATAATATATACTTTTAAAATTCTTTAGCAAATGACATTCTCATGCACACAAGTGTTTCAAACACAAGAAGCAAGTCCATTTATAGGTAGTCCAAGCAAAATTTTGTGTGTGTGGAAATAGCTGCAAACTGAATGGAACATTAAACTTCTGTGCAGTCTATGACGCGTCGTACACGAGCTCATTTTTGAATGTCACACTGCAGGAGTAATACAATGGACGGATCACTCTTTGCAGCTTCTTTGAACTCATCCAGTGTGATCTGATCGTCTTTGTTCTTATCCATCTTACTGAAGATCTTGTCTACCCGTTGCTCAGGCGTCAGGCCATCCTCATTCATTTTCATCATTATCACAGTGCCCACCATTTTGTAGATGGCCTTTGGAAAAAAACCAAATGGAAAATTCAACATGAAATTCAATCTAATTTTTGGATGTGATCAAATTCTGGAAATATGTTCTAACAATAAAATGATTGCAAGTTTCTCTAAAGATTGGTTTTAGGGTTTTTTTTTTGCTTTTCTTTATAAGGATCCAAAGTCCAGATACGTAAAACAAGGAAGAATATATTTTACTTTCTTTAGATGTAGGTTTATTTTGATGGTTACATTTTGCATCCCAGAATGAATTTCTTTGGCTTCCTGTTTCACAATGTAAAACTCTTGTAACTTACTCTCTGTATCAATTGTTCAGATGAAATATTGCACATAAATTCTGAATAATTTGTTTTTGAAGTCACTGCCCTTAAATAGGTTTCTGTGTGTACAGGTGGGCACAATCTGGTATTAACTACTGTGGCAGATGACGAAGGTGGTAAACTTTATCCTTCCTCTTAGAAGTTGTGGTCATCTTAAAGCCCATCTGTGAGAGGTCACTTAAAATAGCGTGTTGTCATCCCTGTAAATTTCTGTAATCATCTGAAGTTAATCTCCAGTAAGGCTTCAGCTACTTGGGCTGCAGTGCAATAATTTCATGGGTGTCAAGTGACTGAGACGGGCTTTGTAAATCCTGTGCTGTTCTTATGATTAATCCATTCATCAAGGGAAAAAAAATCTCTGGATATTTAAAAGCTTATATGCACATATGTACTCTCTGCAATTCTCCAAGATTGCATCTATTAACAAACACGTGAGTGTGCTTGGGCACCAGTCAGTGCAGGATTAATATGTAATGTGCATTTAATGTACCCTACAGCCTCTGGTGAGCCTAAAATCTAAAGTCTGTGTGAACAAGGAATCAAATTTTATTAACATTGTGATGTTCATGAGTGTCATATTGATCTCACCTCTATAATTTCCAGCATTTCCACTCTTGTAATTTTACCATCACCATCCAAGTCGTACATGTTGAAGGCCCAGTTCAGCTTTTGCTCAAAACTGCCTCGTGAGGTGATGGACAGGGCACAAATGAACTCTCTGAAGTCGATGGTCCCATCTCCATTTTTATCAAAGGTTCGGAAGGCATGCTGGGCAAACTTAGAAGCATCTCCATATGGAAAGAACTGCAAAATAAAATAATATATAGAACTGTGTTAATGCAAAGGAGAGATCTGTATACGTGACTGCAAAACACCAAAGTGAGGCATTTATGAAGAGTGGCTGATGAGCTTTGTGGGAAACTGAGGATCTGCAATGTAAGGTTCCCTAACAGTTACACTGGAATGGTTATTAAAAACTTATTTCTACAACCTCAGGTTTCCACAAACTATAATACAAATATATATAATGCTACTTTAAAGCTAAATTAACTAGATTAATCTTAAAATGAAGTTGAGTATAAATGGTAGAATGTAATATTCTCTGACCATGAAATAAAGAAGCCAGGGTGCATTCTAAGAGAATTTTAACCAGCCCTTGAAATGTTGCAACCAAGTATATGTGTGGGATTGTTGTTATATAATTTCATTTATTTAAAAAAATAATCCACATGTGGCATAAAAACCCACATGAACATATGTTCCGTTCTGCAAACCACCATTCAAGTACACAAGATGAAAACACAGATTCAGTTAAACAATATAGTGCAATGCTTTTCATGTTTAATATCCTAATATCCTTCAGTGAACTCTTCAAATGACTGTAGCTTAACAGAGTATTTTAAATGACTATAACATGTAGGTTTTCAGCTGATATAATCTTTTCCCCTCAGGAAATGTATGGTTTAAGACATTTGAGCAGGTAGTTGTTATTTCTGTGGGCCAGACTCAAGAATACACACCCCTGAAGAAAGGGAGTTTTTAAGTGCTGAAGTGCTATTACAGTGCAGGGACCATACACAAACAATGTTTGTTATTATTTTCCCAGCACAATTTCATGGAGGTTTTCCTGCTCCTAAAGTATAAACATGCATTACTCCCCATATGAGAGCCATCTTATTTTGTTCTTTTTAAAATTCCAATTCTTATTAAGTACTGCATTTATAATGTAAGCTTGAAGGAAAGTCTGCAGTGACAGCTGAAGTGGAACTGCATTTTACAATTTTCCATTTCCCCATCCAGAGCTGTGTCTTGCCTTAAAAATGCAAAACTTAGAGCTCAGCCAGCTGCTTGCACTATGTGGCCATGTGGATCACGTCAGGAGCCACTCCTGTGTTGCCACAGGGGTCTCAACCTGAAAGTTTCCTTTCAACTTTCTGTTTTCTCTGAAAGAGCATTTGGTATTGTCTCCTCCTGAAAACAGAACTTCTGTGCCTGTACTCAACACAAGCCCTATTTCTATTTTGATAATCATAACTGCTGGAGAGGTCAAGGTGCTGCTTTAGATCCTTCTGTACTTTCTGCTTTCTGGCCATTAAAAATGATCATGATTGGGCTCATCAACAGATACAAAGATCTTTGGGTTCTCTGATACAATTTAGGATTTCAGTGGGTGCAGTTACCAGACCTTGCTCAATTGTTCTTCTAGTGACAGCCTCACCCTTTTGTCAAAGCTCCCTCCGTGGGAAGGCTCCTTGGGCTCACAGCCTGGCATTCAGGGTCAGAACAAAGTTTGCAAATGGTATCCAAAACCTGAATGTTATTTTCAGGTTCCTCATTGCTTTCTCTTGTCCATGACCCAGCTCCCCCTCCAATTCCTGTTCCAGCTCCAAATGTTAACATAGGTGATATTTAATTTTGTGTGTATGTGTAGAATGTGCACTTCTCCAGTCCCCTGCTGAGAGGTTAAGAAATGGCTCTCATGGCCTGTATGTCACCATGAATTCCATGTCCCCCACCTTTTATTCTTGAGAGTTTGCTGGCTGTTCAAAGCTGAAAGGATAAATCTTTTGCTTTTTAAATCTGTGCTGATTACACTGTTGTGTGACGCATGTGTAACAGAACAAAACACTTCAAAATTTTACAGTCTTCCAAGTATTTTTGCTCAGAGCTGACTGCTGCCTGAGGTTGCTGCCTGATCTCTGCTCCTGTGACTGTCACTCTACAGTCTCTATAAAAGAAAAGTAAATACCTGGAGGGAACTGAGACTGTTCTTTCCACTGCCCAGAAAACCAAAATACAGAAATGGTGCAAACATATTGGTGAGAACAAAGAACGAAATTACAATGGAAAAGCGCACCTACACAAAAGTGTCAGACACTCCAAAACATGTAAGAGTCCAAGAACAAATTGGGGAATTAGGTTGGGTCAGTGGCTGGAGATCTGAAAGCCATTTTTAAGTTGTTCTGGAACATATTTTTCAGTCTCCCACTGGAGCAGCATCAGCAAGCTGTGCCTACCTCTTTGCTGGTCAAGCCATTAGCTTCATGTAGCAGTTAGGAAAAAATCCTTCTAATTTTTTATCACATACAAGATCATGCTTTTTTTCTTTTTTGAGAAGACAGTGGCACTGCTCAGCTAAGTCTTGGCCTTTATAGCATCATATGGAACTGTTCCTGGTTTTAATTTTTTTTCTATTTGTCTTCCTGTAGGGAGTAAATGCAGTAAAATGTCCTTTAGGGACTGAAGGCACTGTTCTCCAGTCTGTACCTGCTGATTTGTATTATTTTTAGCTCAGAACAACCCAAAAACATTGTCAAAACTTGTTTAAAAACTTACTTGAAGATTTCCATTGGCCTGTTTTGAAACTATTCATAAATAAGACATGAAGTAAAGAAAACTAAAATAATAACACAGCAAAAGATGCCAGCTCTGGTAAAACATTTTTTGACTATTAAAACACAGTGAGACCTTAGTAAAGTATAAAGGCACAGGCTTTAACTACTTTCAGAGCAGCCTAAGCCAAGTGACAATGGGAGACAGGGATCTGTGAAAGACAAACACTAAGTTTTTGTCAGAGGGAGTATGAGGAGAGTGGTTTAGTTTGCCTCTTGCATGAGCTCAGTGAATACTTCAGAAAAAAAAGTAAAGAAACACAACTGGGATTTTCAGATACAGCTTCACCTTTCAGTGTTCCATCAAAGCCTTGACCAGGTGATCAATCCACATTTGAAAGCAAGGAGTTCCCGTCTACTGCACCCTGCCACTGAAAAGGGCGCTCCATGCAGCAGCGTTGTCTCCTGATTTACCCTTTTTGTCCAAAAATCAAGACAAACTATGCCAGCCAGTTCCATGGGTGAACCAACACTGTTCACTGCTTTGTTTCTGCTTCTCTAGCCTCATCTAGTGAAAGGCCTCCCTGGTGTAGAGAAAGGTGTCCCTGCCCATGCCAGGAGGTTGGAACTATATGATCTATAAGGCCCCTTTCAACCCAAACTATTCTAGGATTCATCTCTTGCTTGACCTGTGTATTTTCTAACCAGTTGGATCAACATGCTGGGGTGTGAACAGTGTTATCTCCACAGTCAAATGCCAATTAAGAAAAGAAAAAGGAAGATTTAAAAAAAAATCCCTTATCTGCTTCTAAATTTTATATGAGGATTGTCTTGCAGATTCTTAGCTCCCACTGGGTTTCTGGACACTTGTCTGGTGTTTGGGGGGCATTCAATCAGTCCTGGAATCAGAATAGCTAATGAATAACACCTACAAATTGTACATAACTCTTGAGGAAACTGATCAAATACCTGGAAGTATTTATCTGCTTGGCTGCAGCTGCTTTAGCCTCTTTGAAGTGATGCTGTTCACAGGGAACTCAGTGATCAATTCATTCAGATCATCTTTGGGAGGGAATTATTGCAAAAGCATGAAGCATATGCTAAAGCATATGGCTAAAATTTTAGCATGTGGCTAAAACAAAATTTTAGCATGGCTAAAGAAAAAAACCCTCAAAATCAACTTCCTCAAATTCCCCAGTGATAGGGAGGGGTCAGGAAATAAAGGTCTCTCCATCCTTAATAGGATGGGGTAGAGTGAATCTATAGACTGGCCTGAGTAGTGCTTTGTTTTCCACCTGATGTTTTATCATGGGATATTGGGATGCATTTCTATTAAAAGGGAAATTCTGCTACAAACCAGAGAAAACTAGAATTTCACTAATGTGCAGAAAGCAGGGCATGCTGCCTACACATGCCAGGTCACTGATGTAAGGTGACAGCTTCCAGAGCTGGTGTGGGAGCTGGAGCCCAGAACAGGAGGTGGGAAAGCTGGAGATGGCACAGGGCTTTGTAGCCCAGGCTTGGAGAGGATGGAAGAGGCAGCTGCTGATTCCCCTAAAGCAGCCCCATCTGGGGCTCAGCACCACCAGCTCTGCTGAGAGCTGGAGCACAGAAGGGAAATGAGGGGGCACAGCCAGTGCAAGGAGCAGAACAACCATTGTCAAGGGCCAGCACCTAAAAACGAGCCAAGCATTTGGCTCTCATGGGAAAAACCTTAAACATTTAATGCTGCTATGCTTTAGGAAGGAGTTACCAACTCTTCTTATCTACTTTGTTAGTGTTTTATTTTGTAAGTCTGCTAGGCATCCATGTTAACTTTGTAAGTGCATGAGCACTTTGAGAATCAGAAAGTTTGGCTGCTTTTGGAAGCTCAGAGAGGTATTTTTTAATAGCCAAACCTCTTAAAGTTGAACCCAGATGCAGACAGCTGTTGGTCTAGCCTGGTCTTACAGCTGCTCAGAACTGTGCTCACTGGGGACAATGCCTGTGATGATGGGGAGAAGGTTTCTCCTTGCTTATTTTCCAAGAAGATGAAGTTCTGGATTCCTACCAGCAGCACAACATGGGAGTTGATGAGATAAGACAAAAGATTACTCTTTAGCTGTCTCCTTTAGAAAAAAACAAAAGAAATTTACTACAATGCACTGTACTCTTGCACTTCTGTTAAGACACCAGAAAGGGAAGAGGAATCCAGGCTGTGACTGCCAGGACCTGCTGGGAAGGCTGTGCCACTCTGGTACCAGGGTGACCTGCAGGGCTGCAGCCTGTCCCTGTCACAACCTCTTTGTAAAAATGAAAACTGATGTAACAAGGGCAGAACTAGGCCAGCACGAAAAAACACAGCCACACATCTGTCCTTGTTCTGGAAGAGATCTGACTGCTGCACTCTCCAGCACATCTGCACTGTAAGGAGGAAATATCCCACCTAAGGCAGAAATATCTCAGACACCTGGCTTCCAGCTGCCAGAGGGT